GAGAAAAAAGAAGAAAAAAAGCCTGCCTGTTTTTATTACATGCGTGGAAATGAGTCAAAACTATCGATATCTGGGGAAAATGTAAAATAACGATGATGTTGCTGATGAAAACTAACCTTAACCGCGAGTATTTGTACAAGGAATGTTTTTTTTTCTTTCCTTCATTTGGTTTCGGGTTTTTTTTTCCCCTCGTCGGGGTCTCGGTGTGTTACTGTCAGTGTTTACGGCGTCTCTCGGTTCCAAGCGTCGCGTCCTTTTACGACCCGTCTCATCGATTCCCGAGAGTCACGGTTTTCGATGCTATTTCTTTGCTTTTTATTTCACCCGTTTCGATTTTTCCCCAAACACCGAACTGTAGCAAAAACCTCGGTCGAACTCGGCCCGGAGAGAAAAGGGTCAAAGGGTCAAAGGGTCAAAGGGTCGGGCGGAGTTGGGGGCCAAACAGCCAACTTCCTGTCCAAAAAAACAAAACCCCAACAAAACTAAACCTGTTATTGTTCCTTTTTGTGGCATGTGTGTGTTACAGCGAGCAGGACCCGTTGGCCCGCTCAGCGAATGGTTCTGCTTTCATTGAGGCCTCGGCGCCGGAGAATGATTGCAATCTGACTAAGAGGCTCGGGGCATCCAGGAAACGCACGTCCTCCCACCCCCGTCCCCCCCACCCCCCGCTCCACTCGTCCATTTCTCCCCGTTCTTTAATCAATCATCTCGTCTGCGTCCTGATCCACCTTCACCCCGTCTCTCCTCCTCCTCTCGTCACTCCTTCCCCTCCTCCGTCTGCAATCAATGTCCTCCCCCCCTCGCCGCTCTCTCCGTCTCGCTGGCGGTAGAAGCGGCGTCTCTCCCGCCTCCCTTCTCTGCCGTTGTCGAGAGGACTCCATCTGTCGGTCGTGTCTGTGATATAAAACATTCTTTTTTATTTTCGTACACCCTCTTTTGGGAACGTTCAGGGATCGTGCTCTTCGTACCTTTCCCCCCCCTCCTGCGTTGTCGTTAACTGCTAGCTAGCTAGCTAGCTGTGTCCGTAAGCTAGCTCTGCTACGAAGGGTACCGCGACCTCTAGCGGGGTCAGCTGCTGTATTTCTGTTTTGTTTTTTGTTTTTTTACTAGAGATCTCGGTTAGAATTTAGCCTTTCTTTAGTCAACTCGGCTTGAACCGGAGTTCCGTCAGGGAGACTCGTTGGCGCCACACAATTTGAAAACAGGCCCGCGGTGAATATCTGGGAGAATTGGCAGCGCTGTTTATTCGCACCCGTGTCTGCAGACCAGAGGAGTCCTCAAACCTCTCGAGTTGCATCTTAAGCCCGGTCTGATTCTGCTCTGTGGACGGAGAGAAGAAATACCCGCCTCGTACTCTGCAAAGTGTGGTGTCTTTTGAAAACTATCGGACCTGTATTTGCCTGTAACTTATCGTCCTGTCCTTCGTCTTAGTTAGTGTGCTAGCATGTAGCTTGCATGAGAAAAGGTCGGAAATGTAGATAGTGCTGGAGGTGAGAAGCGTCTCTCCTGAGACCAGAGCAGCGGTCTGCCCGATTGACCCCCCCCAGACCTCCCCCAGACCTCCCCCCCCCCGGCTGTTCTCTGATCTGCAAACACGTAGCATGCAACCCGTCTGCACCGCCTCGGCCCGGTGCGGCGGTGCGATGGCGTTGAGTTGGGACGTCACATGTTTCGTCAGTGATGTCACCAGATAGCCAGCAAACAGCAGCCCACGTTCACCTCCCCCGGGGAGGCCGAGCTCTCCTCCCCCGCCGCCCCGACTCGCCCCAGCTCCTCTCCGGGCAGTCGCACACCAGCTGCCAGTCACCTCTTTATTTTTGTAGTATCGACAAATTGATTTTTTTAAAGTTATGTTTTGTAAAAGGGTGTGCATAATCTTAAAAGTGTTACTTTCAGTTCAATTGATATTCATTTTCTTTTGTTATTAAATTAGATTTACCGAATCTTAGAGGCTAGAATTGTTTCAACAACCATTTTTGTTCCCTCTGTGTTTTCCTGTATATAGTGTTGCCTTCACTGGACACTCATACAAGCGCACACACTCGTGTGTGTGTGTGTGTGTGTGCGTGTGTTTGTGTATGACTGTGAGGCGTGTGTCAATCCACCCGAAACGGACTCCGGAGACACTCTGACGTGTGTTGCGTTCAGAAACACGTTTTTTATTTCGATGACTCAAACGGCGTCTTTGTTCTCAGACCTTTTTGTTTTGGGATGAAAAGTCTTCCTTTTGAATAAATATCCATATCACATGCGAGTAGTGCTGTCATGTATGTTAATCTGTACTATGGCTGATGATGTCATCGAGGTGAGACCCGACCGCATGCCGTGGTGGGTGTGCGTCTGTGGGACGTCCACTCGGTTTCTGTTTGACCCGTTCAGTTGTTGACTTCAATAAACATGCATTTGGGATCATTTCACGGGTCTCGTCGTCGGTTCTTCGCGTTCTGGAGGTTGTTCTGTTTCCCGCCTGGATCCTTTTCTTCCCGCTCACATCAACAAAAACCTCCCCTGAAAGATGCACATTAGTATCTCAGGATATCTGCTTGTGTTGATGATCTAGTGTTGTTAATTAGCTGTCGTGGAAACATCATGCTGACTTTTTGAAGGGATTTTGGACTTATCTTCAGAGTAAGTATCTTCCTCAGTAGCTGTGTACAAAAGACTGTGAACATGATCTTCAATGAATAATTGACTTGATAAATTCGCACACAAATACTAAATTAATTAATTGGGTCTAACCAGGACTTTAAAGTCCATGTGCAGTGAAAGGAACCAACCAGCAGAGGGCAGCAGCATGCAGTAATTCAGTGTGTCACTAAATTCAATTGAAGTCCATTTCTTAATGGCAGTAGTCTTCATCTCAGTATTTCTGAATGTTTTATTTCTGCTTGAATACATTCTGGTTACAATAGTTTGTGAATCTTTCTGTCTCTATTTCTGTATTTCCTTTAACTTCACTGCTTCAGGATTGACTGTTAGTGAGAATACTTTTTCTGAAGGTCAATAATCAGACAGAACATGTACAGCGTGGGAACGCTGAATCTCAACATTTCAGCACATTAACAAAGAAGACGGCAAGACAGAATTTTTCAGAGGGACTTTTGGGGCTCTGTTATTGACAGCGATGCCTAAATCCCTTAAACTATGCCAGAAGAAATGTTAATAACAGCGACTTCACTCAGAGTCCGTGGCTTAGAGGCCCCCCGAGGCTCTGGAGGCCCTTTCAGTAATCCCCCCCCCCCGATGGTCACAATCCTCCTGGATATCCAGAACTCACTGCAGCTGTTTGAGGATAAAAGACTTGTTTTTGCACAGCTTGTTCTTAAATACCGACTTGTGAAAAAACAGTTTTCTCCTTTTGTCGGGAATTTTCAGTTAATCGGTTTTCACCAACAATTGGCAAGAAAAGTGTCAAAAGTATCAAATCAACTCATTTGAGTGGTTAATGCGAACACACGTTTCAGCACAAACACAAGTGTCTCCTGCAGCAAATTGCTTTATTCTGTTGAGTCATTTCTAAGAATATAAGCCAGAAAAACATATGCAACAGTGTTAGAAGATTCAAAAGCTAAAGCAATAAAGAGAATAAGTGAGTATTATTTCACATTGACTGATCAGAATAAGAAGAATAAAACCTCACGTGTCCACGACTTTAAACATGCATGATTTGATAGACAAAAGCGGTTAATGCAAAGGTGACAACAGATCATTTTTGTTAAACCTAATAGATCATTTTCATTTTTTTTTTAACTTCAAATTTATAGAATCAATGCATTTAAATTGGCATGAATGTAACGATTCACGGGGCTACATTACATTACCTGTCATTTATCTGACGCTTTTATCCAGAGCGACTTACAATACGTGTAAGTAATCTCCAATAAGCTTCACCAGGTGTGCTGCATTAGATGCATTGATTGGCTGTGACCTTTAGCATTTTGGGACGTGGAAAAGTGTGACATCATCTCTGTTCAGCTTGGCCCCGCCCACTTAAAACCCGAGGGGGGAAAAAAGAAAAGAGGACAAAGACAAGTACATCTCTCTGGCGCAACAAATAAATAAAAGGGTTTTGGACTTTGATGGATCATGTTGCGTTCAGGGCCTTGTTGCCAATAGCAACGATAAAGAAATATCTTTTTCAGAGCTTTTTAAAAAAAAAAAAGTGAAACTGGAACATCCCTGACATGATGACGTAGTCTTATTAAATATTGACAGAATGCTACAGAATATTCTGTCAGGTGAGTTTTCCAGCACTTGGTTGTTAAGGTCCAGTTGAGTTCAGCTTAATATTATAGTCGGACCTTATTCCGCCTGCTCCATATCAGTAATGCGTTTTAATCTACATGTAATGCGTTGTTCTTGGTTTGTTCCATAGTTTATTTGTTAAATTTGAATCAATCTTTTGAAGTTTTCAGGTTTAAAACGCAGTTCCTTTTGCGCCCGCTGGAGCGTCTCCCCCCTCCTCCCCCCTCCTCCCCCCTCCTCCTCTCCGTGGAGTCCAAAACGGAGATTTGGAGCGGGGAGGCGTGGAGGAGAGAGGAGGTGTGAGCTACTGATTGTATGAGAGGAGGGGGGCAGAGAGGGAGAGAGAGAGGGAGGGAGGGAGAGAGAGAGAGAGAGAGGGAGGGAGGAATTCATTCCTGTTTAAATTGGAGTCTAAAGCGCAGAAAGGAAAAGGGACTCGGGCAGAGAAACAAAGAGAGAGAAGAAATATAAAAAGTGGAGAGAGATTTATTTTTACGCACGAGTCAAACAACGAAACAAGAAGAAAAGGAAAGGAGGAGAGAGAGAGACAGAGGTCTTTTCCTCGTCCTCTGAACGTGTCCTCTCTCCCTCTCATGACTCCGAGAGGATTCCACTCAAATTCACCCGGTCGGGAGGGATTGATGGTGTGTGTCCGGCGGAGCGGAGGCGCGGGGAGGACTCTGGATGCGCGCGGCTGAACCATGGCCGCCCTGTGGATCCTAACTTTGGCCATCAGTCTGCACCGAGGTGAGAAGGCGCCCAAACACACCCGGATCACCCGGGCATCACCCGGGAAAGTTCGCCGGGTGATGCCCGGGCGCTCGCTCCCTTTGGCCCCGTTGTGCGCGGGCGTCTGTGCGCACTCTGCGCGGGTGTCTGGCAACGTGTGTACGTGCCCGCGCCACGGTGTGTGAATGTGTTTGCGTCGCTGTGGGCTCGTGTTGCGTGGCTCCGGGGGTCTTGAACTGGGGGGACGAAACAAACAAAAAAACAAAAACAGAAACGACATTCAGAGTTCAGACACACGCGGGACGCGTCGCGTTCTCTCTGTCTCCCTTCGGCCCGTCGGAGGGACGCGGAGCATCTGCGCGCGACATTGGCTGTGACGTGACCTTTGAAGCGCGTGAGACATTTGGATGACGCGAACCGACGCATTGTGGGTCAAAGGAGGATGCGTTACAAGCACGCGCCCACACACACACACACACACACACACGCGCACGCACGCGCAGCGCGCATAGCCTGTCGGGCCCCGGGGATGATTGATGAGGATCCAGCGCACAGTCTGGTCACCTGGTTCCCGCGTGAGTCACACCGGATCGATCCCCGACACCAACACGGCACGTGCACTAGTGAAATAGTGAAAAGACCAGCGCGTCCCTGGAGAGAGGAAGTTGGTGTGTGTGTGTGTGTGTGTGTGTGTGTGTGTATGAGCGTGTGTGTGTGTGTGTGTGTGTGTGTGTAGGGGGGAGAGAGAGAGACGGAGGGAGGGAGGTCTAACAGGGACCAGGCATCCTTCTTAGTATGCAGGTAGAGTCTGGCATGCTCGTCCAGCGCCCGCGCGCGCCGCCCCGCCGCCGCGAACGCAGGTGCCAAAAAAAATTCCTGTTTTACCGTAAAGACGGAGACGTATTCACCTGGACCCGCAGGAGAACCCCATCCACCAATATCAATGTCCCTATTTATCGATCACCTTGATAGATTTCCCTCTCACTACATGCCCGTCTCTGTTTCACACACACACACACACACACACACACACACACAAGCCTCAGCGGAAGAGAGGATGAGTGTGCGTTTGTGTTTGAGAGCAGTGAGGGCTCCGAAGACACAGATGATTAATTATGTGGCCTGATGTGAACAGTTCAACTGTGTGTGTCTGTGTGTGTGTGTGTGTGTGTGTGTGTGCGCCTGCCTGCCTTACCACCTGGGTCCCCGGTGCCGCAGGCCGCTGGTGTGATAAACCGCAGACGGTGATGCGCCCAGACACTCAGTCAGTCGGAGGAGGAGCACATCCGACCACCTGAATAGGAAAAGAACAGAACGTTATTTGTGCTTTATTCATGAGGGGCGATGGCGGCGGAGGCCCAAGGTGAAAAGGCGCCGCTCGAAGCCCCTCGGCGCCTCGGTTCCGAGGGAACGGACGCGTTTGTCTTTTGGCGGCGCGGGCGGAATTTAAGGTGTCGATTCAGATGCTCTGAGATAATCTGTCGATGTTCCATTGAGCTCCGAATAATTAGAGGCAAAGCCGGATGAAAGAGTGGAGCAGGGGGAGGCAGATTAGGAAAGTTTGATTGTTCCGGCTGAAGACAATCAAAGGCCGAGCAGAGCGGAAAGGAGAACAAGGAGACGAGGGACGAGAACAAAGCGGAGCGGCGGCGGAGGGACGCGAATGAGCGACGCACAACGGAGCACGACAAAAGAGACAAACACACACACGTAGGCCAACACATCGAGACAGAACAGAGCAGATACAAGAAGATGAGACCCGGAGCAGCTGAGCTGTTGTAACTCATGAAGTGATCAGCGCCTCCCCTTTCTCCTCCCCCTCCTCCCCCCTCTCTGCTAGCCGCTTGGGGGCTCCACGTGTCTCCTGCCTACGCCCTCTGAGCCGGATCACCTGCTCGTTCCGGTCAAGAGCGGCGCAGGCCTGGTAATTACCGCTCTGCCCTGAATGTGCGTGTGTGTGTGTCGACCATGTGCTTGCCAGCGCCGTTCTGGCGTTCTGGGGCGGGGGGGGGGGGCCCGTGGGGCCCACGGGGGCCCGGGTGCGCAGAGTTGATTCTTGAGCACTTTTGCTTCAGCTGAACGTTTCCACGGGTCTGATCATGCAACGCGAAGCATGCGGGCAAAAGCGATTCCTGCACTGCAAGCACCTGCCCCTCTCACTGCCCCCCCTCCTCCAACTGCCCCCCCCCCCCCCCCACACACATGCACACACCCACAGAAAGACTTTCTTTTCCTCCCCCTCTCTCTTTATTCCCGTCACAGGAACGGAGCGGAGGCGCAGATGCAAAGAGACAGGCCAAAAGACAGAGAGACGGAGACGGGGAAGAGACAGCGGGGTCGGTCCTAATCTGTTGACAAGGGGGGGGGGGGATGTTTGAGGATAAACAGAGGCAGAGCAGCTATAGGGGAGGCGGGGGGGGGGAGAGAGAGGGGAGGCTTGTTGGCTCCGGTCGCTTCTTCAGCAGCGGCCCAGCTGGGCCGTCAACGGCTGACGCTTCACGCCGGCCTGCAGGGGCCTCCAGGGGCCTCCAGGGGCCTGCAGGGGCCTCCAGGGGCCTCCAGGGGCCTCCTCTTAGGGATGTGAAGTCAAAGGCAACTGGACTCGCTTAAGAATCCTTGAAAAGGTCTCAGCTCGCGTCTTCAAGTTGCCTCTGACTTCTAACTTTTAGAAAAATACCCTCTCCGGCGACCCCGAGGTGGTTCCTTCCACCAGCACGGTTTTCTTTCAGCATCAGTTTCCAGCTGCCCAGCGATACGCCCTCAGTGTGCCTCCCCCTCCCCTCCCCCCCCTCAGACGGGGGTTTGTGGCTCAGAACCGTTTGTGCATTTACAGCATGATTGAGGAACTGTGCGATGACCTCGTGCGTCCATGAACCTGACTTATTGGACACGTTATGCACATCGGAGGACACGATTTACAGCTGCTGGTTTTACTGGGAACACACAGTGTTTTATTGATTGGTGGGAGAATCCTTTTCTTTTTTTTGTTGCCCCTGATGACACCTGCACCCCCCCGTCCCCCGTCCCCAACACTTCTCTGTGTATTATGAATGCAGTCGGCACAATATGGCTTTTTCATTGAGGTCACCCCCCCCTCATGTGCTCATTTGTTGCACATAAGCCTCACATTTGTATTTGTTGTTCACCGAGCAACTGGACACGTTCTTCTTCCTGGTGGGTTTCATCATCTGAAGCGCCACTGATGAGCGTTTCACGCCCGAGCGGCTTCAGGGATCAAACCTCCAACCTCGGTCATTAGTGCCGCGCTGATCGGGCCGTAAAAGTAAATGTAAGAGCCCGACTGACTCCGAGTTCCGCTCCAGCAGGAAGGAAAAAGCAGATCTCTCAAAATGAAGATAATTAAAAATGGCACGACAAGTGGAAGAGCGCTGCGGAGGTTCAAACAACACGACGGCGGCAGAGTTAAGTGTGTGTGTGTGTGTGTGAGGCCCTCGTCTCAAAAGCCCCCCAGTACCTGAGAGATCTGAGACCCTCACGGACGGGGGAAGCGTAATCGCAGCTGACAGTAACAGCAATTAAAATAAACACATGAAATACGGGCAGCTTTAATTCGCCCGCGATGCCCCGAATATCTGCCTACGCACACGATACGAAGTGGCGGCCGGGACCCCCCCCCCCCCGACCTCGTCTGCACGAGGGGGGCGTGAAGGAGCGAGGAGGACGCAGATCCTACGGGGAGCGTCGGCCGGCATTAACACTGACACCCATCAATCTGGCTGATGTGTCAGACCGAATGAGGGAGGAGGAGCGGTGGGCCGAGAGGGCGAGGAGACGGCGTGGAGGGAGCCAGAGCAGAGAGAGAAAGGGGAAGGACGAGGACAGACGGGGGAGACATTCAGAGAGGAGACGGCGTGGAGGGAGCCAGAGCAGAGAGAGAAAGGGGAAGGACGAGGACAGACGGGGGAGACATTCAGAGAGGAGACGGCGTGGAGGGAGCCAGAGCAGCGAGAGAAAGGGGAAGGACGAGGACAGACGGGGGAGACATTCAGAGAGGAGACGGCGTGGAGGGAGCCAGAGCAGCGTGAAAGGGGAAGGACGAGGACAGACGGGGGAGACATTCAGAGAGGAGACGGCGTGGAGGGAGCCAGAGCAGAGAGAGAAAGGGGAAGGACGAGGACAGACGGGGGAGACATTCAGAGAGGAGACGGCGTGGAGGGAGCCAGAGCAGAGAGAGAAAGGGGAAGGACGAGGACAGACGGGGGAGACATTCAGAGAGGAGACGGCGTGGAGGGAGCCAGAGCAGCGAGAGAAAGGGGAAGGACGAGGACAGACGGGGGAGACATTCAGAGAGGAGACGGCGTGGAGGGAGCCAGAGCAGCGTGAAAGGGGAAGGACGAGGACAGACGGGGGAGACATTCAGAGAGGAGACGGCGTGGAGGGAGCCAGAGCAGAGAGAGAAAGGGGAAGGACGAGGACAGACGGGGGAGACATTCAGAGAGGAGACGGCGTGGAGGAAGCCAGAGCAGAGAGAGAAAGGGGAAGGACGAGGACAGACGGGGGAGACATTCAGAGAGGAGACGGCGTGGAGGCCAAAAGGGGGAGAGCTGGAGCAGAGGACGATGGAGCAGGAGAGGAATCCAGGCGAAAGGAGGGGAGAGGAGACAAAGGGAGGATGGAAATGTGGAGGAATGGGAGCCAGCGAGTGAAGGAGGAGGGAAGCGGGCAAAGGAGTGAAGCAGAGCAGGGGGGGAGGTCAGGGAGGGTGGAGACGAAACATTATTGGGGGGGGGGGGGGGGGCAGAAGGAGCAGTAAGAGAGGCCAGACGAGAGGAGACGAGCAGAGGACGTAAGGAGAGGAGATGGGGGGTCGGAGGAGGTGTGGAGGGTGGAAATGGAGCCTGGATGGAGGTGAAAGGAGGCAACAGAAGGAGGGGGGGGAGGATTTTGGCAGGTGAGGAGGGAAGGTGGAAAAAAAAAAGGGAGATTAAGAAGAGGAGAACCGGCTCACAGAGAATTATGTGTCGAGAGCGGAGGAGCAGGAGAAAAGCAGAGGGGGG